ATTCATTTTTATAATACTTTTGTTGTTCTTCTCATTTTAAAACAATCGACTTAAAACATTCAGAGATTGATTTCAATATTATATTTTTTGGCATCGAAAAATGTATTCAAAAATATTAATCAATCATCAAACTATCTAAACTAAGATAAAATATAAATTTAATTTTTCAAAATGAATTATTTTCATTTAGATTCTTTTAAATATGTTTTTTAGATCCTTAATCAAACAAGCTTCAATCATTGGCTAATAAAACTAATTATCATTATTATATCATTGGCTAATAAAGTTTTAAGTATGGAGAATAAAGTTTAAAATTCATGTTGTAAACTTAACGTGAAATTATAACTTAGATTATATGTAATAAGTTTTTAACATTTTTGTTTACCAAAATTGGTTATGTAATAATGTTATGCTGAATATTAATTGTGAGATTTGCAAGGAATATAAGATAAGGCTAATAATAATTAAGCTAAATTGTTATAGTCTAATTGCTATTTTAGAATATATTAACTAAAGCAATTTTTTTAGCCTCTACTTGAAAACTTGGTTCTGAAAATGATTTGTATCTAATTTCGTTCAGTAGATATGAGATGATCTTAAATAATAAGAATAAAAACTAATATAAGAAAATGAGAATTATTTATTCAACAATGCCTATTAAAGTAGCATTTGAAAAAGTGTTGCATTATATCTAATTTCGTTTAGTAGATATGAAATGCTCTTAAATAATAAAAATAAAAACTAATATAAGAAAATATGAATTAATTATTCAACAATGCCAATTGAAGTAACATTTAAAAAAGTGTTGCAATATATCATGGTACTTAAAAATTTAATTCATCCGACTGGTTAATATTTATTTACAAAGTAATATATTTTAAACTAATAAACTTGCCAGTTTAATTATTTGATACTTAAACGTATTTAATATTGTAAATTAACTAAAAAAATAACTAGTCTATGATTGTATGAGAAAATAATTTTTTGCTGAAGCTTTTATAAAAATTTAATCAATGAATATAATAAATAGGGATTTAATTTGCTTATATTTCACATTTAAATGAAAAAATGTTAATTAATTTTTTTTTTCTCGTAAGATAAAATCTAACGTATGCTGACTAAAGTATTTCAAATATTTAATCAGTTACTTAAAGGTTTACCTTCTTTATTTATTGATAATAGAATAATATAAATCGTATTAAATAAATATTATTGTTTTAAATGTACATTTTGAGCTTAAGTGAATGTTAAATTATTTATTATTATTTTTCAGTATTATATTGGATAACGATGAAATACTTGGCAATTTTTGCTTTTATTGCTGTTGCTACAGCACTGAAATTTCCTTACAATCCTCAATTGAATGAACACTGGGAAAATTTCAAGGTAAGCTACAATTGCATTTAACTAACGTCAATAGAGGTAAATAAAGAATAATAATGTGTTAAAATTATTTGTGTTTTGATTAGTTATTCTAAATTCTATAATGTAATAATACAAAAATAATATCAATGAGTATTGTATAATCCAATGGTCATTCGTAAAAGAAGATTTTTCAGTTATAATAAATATGTTTAATAGGCTTTTTAAATGCTTACAATGAAAATGTTTCGAAAGAAATATAATTTGGTCAGTCACTTTAAGGTATAGAAGTTTGATAAGGAAGTTCAAAAATAATTATTTGATATTTATATAGTGTGCAGAAAAAAGCACGTCAAAATTTTTATGTTGAATTATATCTTTAACATTGAATTAAATTATAACTTTAACAGCAACTAAGAATTTTTTGTTGCTATTAAATATTAAGTTTGTCCTATTAACACAAAACTAAACTTTTTTATTAATATTTTTAGTAAACATTATTATATGCTGCTCGAGAAATTTGGATTAAAAGTTTAAAAACTGTTTTTTTTTAAATTGTATAAATTATATATTAATAAATATAATTAATAAACTTAAACAATATTCACTAAATTTTAAATATTATATCTAATCCATTAATCCGTTCTGATTAGTCTCGACTGATCAACATTTAAAAACTTTTTGCACAACATTTAATTCTATTTAACTTATTACTCTATTATATTATTTATTATTCTATTATATTAACTTATTTATTGGGATGGGTGCCAAATGAGGACATTCTTAGAGCTATTTTCTTCAGTCAAGAGGCGCCAATGCTGGCGGCATGCAATAGTCCAGATCTTTGATGTGATCTAAAGATACATGGACCCGAAAACAACAATAACAGCATTTACTTATTTTTCTGTTATAATATTAACTTATTATTCTATTTAATATATTTTAAAGTTCTTCTAACATTTATGAGGTATTTATATATATTTTAACCCCGTGAAAATGACGGGGTGAGATTTCGACCGCTATTTCTCGCTCCCGTGATATTGACGGGCTGGAGTGTTCAGTAGTAATGCGCCAATAAGAATAAAACTAATTCATTTCTTTTGACCGGAAAACATTTTATTTCTCATTTTACACACCTGATGGCAGTACCAGGATATTTTTAAGGTAATAGTAGATAGTTAGTTTATTTTAAACTAGTTGCAGCACAAGTCAAATACGTAATACAAATACAAAAGCCAAAAAAATGGGCACTTTTACGACCGTCTTCTTGAAAATTAACCGATCGATAAAGGGTTAAAGCTATCTAAAATTAAAATTTTTTTTAAAAGTTTGTTTATTGCATAAGATGAAGTCGGAAATGAAATCGTACACATAGTACATAGCTCATGTGTACAACTAGTCATTAAGAATAAGAAAATTATAAAAAATTAACTCAATTTAAAAAAATGTGGCTTTTTATAAAAGTTATACTTTATTTTTAAAAAAATGTGATCATTAGCAGAATTTACTTTTGAGGTTGTTAAAATGTGACATATTTCTATAGAGAATCTACGGAAAAAATTATGGTAGCGGAGAAGAGTTTTCAAGACGTCTTGTTTGGGAAAGAGCTGTCACAGATATCATAAAACACAACCTTCAAGCTGATTTGGGTATTCATTCTTACAGAAAAGGCATTAATGAATACGCAGACATGGTAAGTTTTCAAAGAATTATTAAAATATATGTTTTATATACAATTACATGGTTTGGCATACTTAACATACACTTCGTCATATATGCTAAGTTATAGACATGTAATTAATTTAATATTTAAAAAGAGATAATTCTAAAAGTGATTGAGTCAGCTAGTTCTAATCGGAACACGTGGTACTTTCTTTTTTAAAAACTGCTCGTAAAAGTAATTTAAAAAAAAGTTGAATAATTTATAATCATGTATTTTGCCCAATAAGAATGAGCACTATTTTATCTTTATTTTAATATGAAAATGAAACTATTTAATTACAATACTATTCATGTTACTATAAAAACTCAAACTGATTTAAGATTTTGAATTCAAGTGAAAGTTGCCTTGATTAAAAGTTTAGACAAAACTAGAATTTTCCAGTCAGTTATAATAAGTTTTAATCAATATTCACAAAATTTTTATTTTATGAGAAAAAACACGAGCATTGATTGATATTTTCAACAAAATTAAAACTACATTTCAAGTTTAAACTTGTAATAGTTATAGAATATTAACCCTGTAATGAGTAGTATGTTTTTTAAGCATTCCTTATAATCAAATGTTTAGTAATAACGCATTCGAATATACATTAAAAGAGAAAAATGTGGTTAAAAAAATTTCAAATTGCACAATTCAAACGCTTACTACTTATTATTTCTAAACATTAAATAATTTAAAAATTTTAGACTCATTAGATTTAAATATTATACAAATTAAAAGTTTTCAACTTATTATTGAACGTAAATATTACACAAATTAAACGTTTTCAACTTATTACTTATACACAGTTTGCAAACGTTTTCAATTTATTATTTATACGCATTTTACAAATTAAATATTTTTAAGCATTCTAAATTTAAATAGTATACAAATTAAACTTTTTCAGCATATTTTTTAATGAACACATTGCACAAATAAAATGCTTTCAACTTATTATTTAATTTAAGCATTACACAAATCAAACATTTACAACTTTTTATTTATAAACATTATACAAATTAAGCATTTTAATCGTATTAAGTTTATACTTTACACAAATTAACCGTCCACAATGTATTATTTAATTTATGCATTACAAAGTAAATGTTTTGATCTTAATTATTGTATCCTTAAATTTCTTATTTCAGAGTCACGAAGAATTTGTAAGGCAGTTTAACGGATTTAAAAGCAGCGGTCTCCGAAGTGGAGAAGGAAGTGCCTGGGTAGAACCCTCTAACGTTCACATTCCCGACACTGTCGATTGGAGGAAACAAGGACTGGTCACCCCAATCAAAAACCAGGTATAAAATTATATCTTTTCTCAAAATTTTTCTCTTCAGCTGTTTCATTTTGCTTAATTTTAATAAAATCAAAATGTTGCGTTCTTACATCAAAACGTGCAGTTTCTTGGAACATATAAAATTAAGTTTTAAAATTACCTTTACCATTATTTACTAAATGAAAAGTGGTATCTAAAACAAGAAACAATCATCATATTTAATGCAATAATTATTAATTTAGAGATTTTTATTTAATAGCAACAATGTGGCTCTTGCTGGGCATTCTCTACCACCGGTTCTCTTGAAGGGCAGCACAAAAAGAAGACCGGAGATTTGGTTTCCCTCAGTGAACAGAACCTTGTAGATTGCTCTCAACCGCAAGGTAAGTGCATTAAAATTTGTAAGAAATTAATATTTATTTAAATATAAAGTATATAATACAAAGTATACAATGAATTTGGTAATTTTTTTAAATTAATAACTATATACGTAGTTAATATAACAAGGCTATAAATGCATTTTGATCACAAGATAAAAATTCATGGTTTGCTATATTTTCTTT